GCTCTTAGATCAAGCTCTTCATGCTTTTTGATCAAGCTATGCTCTCATATCAAGCTTTCCATGCTTTTTGACTAAGCTACACTCTCATATCAAGGTCTCCATGCTTTCTAATCGAGCTACGCTCTCAAATCAAGCTCTCCATGCTTTCTGATCTAGTTATGCTCTCAGATCAAGCTCTCCATGCTTTCTGACCGAGCTATGCTCTCAGATGAAGCTTTTCATGCTTTCTGATCTAGCTATGCTCTCAGATCAAGCTCTCCATGCTTTCTAATCGAGCTATGCTCTCAGATCAAGCTCTCCCTGCTTTTTGATCGAGCTATGCTCTCAAATCAAGCTCTCCATGCTTTATAATCGAGCTATGCTCTCATATCAAGCTCTCCATGCTTTATGATAAAGTTATGCTCTCAGATAAAGCTATGCTCTCAGATGAAGCTCTCCAAGCTTTATGATCGAGCCATTCTCTCAAATGAAGCTCTTCATGCTTTCTGATCCAGCTATGCTCTCAAATCAAGCTTTCCATGCTTTCTGATCGAGCTATGCTCTCAGATCAAGCTTTCCATGCTTTCTGATTGAGCTATGCTCTCATATCAAGCTCTCCATGCTTTTTGATCAAGCTATGATCTCAAATGAAGCTCTCCATGCTTTTTGATCGAGCCATGCTCTCATATCAAGCTCTCCATGCTTTCTGATCGAGCTATTCTCTTAGATCAATCTCTCCATGCTTTCTGGTCGAGCTATGCTCTCAGTTCAAGCTCTTCATGCTTTCTGATCGAGCTATACTCTCAAGTCAAACTCTTCATGCTTTTTGGCTATGTTGTCAAATCAAGCTCTCCATGCTCTTTGATCGAGTTGTGCTCTCAGATCAAGCTCTCTGCACTTTCTAATCGAACTCCTCACGCTCTTAGATCAAACTCTTTATGCTCTCTGATTGAACTCTTTATGTTCTCAGATCAAGCACTTTATGCTCTCTAATTGAGCTCAAAAGCTCGCTCATTCGCTTGAGATTACGTGTTCATGATCTCTCAGATTGCGCCAAGCATAATTCAAGCTCTTCAGTTTGAGACTACAACCTATAGTGTGACAGCCATCTAGATCAAAGACATGAGTTTTTGAAGCGCGATTACGCACTCCAAAAATTGGGGGGCTATTATTGTGTGGGAAATCCATAGAGGATAATTCCTTATTAGGAGAGAATATATTTAGATTGGCTCAATTTGGAGGAAAGATATTCATATTGACTTAGATTCCAACTAAGGTAGCCGAAGATTGTGCAACTTCCTAATCCTATGTATTTGAATCTTTCCTCAACTCTAACGTGTAAATAGGTGCTATATAAACCCATCATAACTTGTTTTCAAGGGAGCTGGGCAATTGTTCTAATTAAATTTTTCTATGAATTATATTGTTCTTTGTAAGCTCTCAAAAGTAATAAAATAGCAGTGGACATAGGCTCAAGTTCTAACTTGTTGAATCACTTTAAAAATTGTCTTGTTTTTTTATTTATGACTCTTTCTTTTTTATTCATTGCTGATTTTCATTAAATCACGTGCACATCCATTCCGGTTCCAGCAGGGTCAATCAGAATTCTCTGGTTGGTGCAGATTTCTATATCAATAATAACTTTGGATTGTACTGACGCCTTGCTTGACTCTAGCTACTTAGGGTTTCTTCCAAGCAATTGAGTTTACCAAGTTCAGGAACCAAGTCAATAAAATATCTCTAACAAGTAAGAACCTATTCCAACTCTTTCACATCTAAAAAGCCTTCGTAATTTAAAAGCTCCGATGACTTTATCTGAGATAGAAACTGATCAATGGTCATTTTTATTTATAGTTATAATTAAAGCACTGCTTTAAGATCAACCCAATTTTTTTGTTTCTTTGAATGGAAACATAGACTCATTATTTGACATTAACAACTAATGGGACCCCACAAGATATGGTAAACTCTTCATGTCACCCAGTTATTTCCTACATTGTGCTATCCTACAAACTCAATAAAATAAACGGAGTTGTTACAATAGGAGTAGCTATGCTCCGTTTGGTACACTTTTGGAATAATATTCTATTATGAATATGATATGATATGAGTTAATCAACTAGGATAGGATTCTGAGAATGTGTTTGGCACATTTTTAACCCCCTACATTTGTTAATTTAGCTAAACACCCCCACAATATAAGTTTATAAATTAACAAAAACACCCCCACCCACCCAACTGATTGTCAGGAGCTGACCACCACCATTGCAGGAAGTTGTCGGAATGGCAAATGACCAGTTGGATCTGGTTGGTCGTGCATTGATCTAGCCGTTTGTGGCCAAATCTACGACCAAACGACGACCAAAATATGGTTGTCGTTGACTGCTAGATTTGAAGCCAAAATATGGCCGGTCATCAACAACCATATCTTTTGCTGTAGATCTAGCCGAAAACAGATAGATTGGTACACGATCGACTAGATCCGGCTAATCGTGTGTTGTTCTAGCGCCAGTGACCAGCGGTTGACAATGGTTGTTGGCGATCGGCGACAGTTACTTAGGTGGGTGGAGGTGTTTTTGTTAATTTATACTTTTATTGAGAAAGGTAATTGTTAAATGTTTTGAGTTGAATAGAATATGATTTGATTTTAAGCAATATTAAAACAAACACGTTTTTTTCATTTTTTAGGATAGGATAGTAGAATAGAATATGGTTGAAAAGTTAAACAAAGGCGGGTTAGGTGATTATTATATTCTGAATCAATAAATAAAGTGAAAGTTTTATCACTTTACAAGTTGATTAAACTTAAGCGGAATGAGTTAACTTGTTCATTTTGTGCTTATGTGTTGGCTTGATCATCATCAACATAAACAAATCAACAATGGCAAAAAGTAAAGCACACAACACATTTCCACATGGTTCGGGAACTTGCCTACATCCATGGGACCAAGTCCAAATGAAGCTAATCCACTATGATAAACTTTTAGTGTTCAAATACAAAGCTAAAGATAAGCACAAGTTGCAAAACACTCCCTGTTTATGACAACACTTCAATCTTCACTCTTTGGTTGAACCTCAAGCCACCACAGCTAGGTTCACACATGAGACCACCTGGTCAGCCTTGAGCTCCTCTCAAGGTTCAACACTGAAGATGCACTTCGGCTCCAAAAGCTTGAAACTCCATCAAGCATCAACATGGAACGACATTCCAGCCATGAACAAAACAAGCATTAACAAAGGTATTAGTAAGCCTACACGAGCATATGAAACCCGAATGAAAACAAAGGAAACCTCAAGGAATATGCAGATTATCAAAGGAATATTTAGGCTTAAAATGAAATGCACTGGTAAAGAGAATATATAGAAAACTTGCGCACCAATGCAAGGGGACAATCAACCAACATGCTGCTTTTGTGTTTTGCCATTTTAGGAAAGTTTTCACGAAACTTTCTTGGGGCCACACACAAAGCAAAACAAATTTTCCAGTACACCAAATGGGCTAAAGTCAAGTGTACACAGACCACTTACACATATCTTAGATAAAGATAATATCCTAGAAACTAATGGGGACGCAACATGTGTACATAAATATCTAGCTGGGCTTGTGTCATCACATGGACAATGAATGTGGTGACACTAGAAAAACATAAAACGATTGTGCATTAACAAAGAGATGTCGCAGCATAAAAAATCAGTGTTGCCACACTGAATTTATAATTTGACAAAAATACTTACATAAATATATTAATGAAAAAATTTATAATTAAATTTTTATCTTTTATTGTTAATTATAAAGTAAACAAATTTTTCTCACCCAAGGTTTGCCTTAATGACACTTTCACACCCAAAAAGTTTCAAAATACAACTTTCCCATCCAACGTTTATTCTGTTAATGCCCAAAATACACTTCACTTTCTCAGCCGACGTGCTTTTGTAGAATGGAGGCTAGTGGATCGAATGGTGGTAACTGATTGAATATTTGCTAGCAGAATCAGACGGAAATTAGATAAGAACAAGAAGCCCTATTTTTGTGATGGCCGACAATTGACGAAAATCAGGTGTCTGAGTAAGATGAATTTCATAGAGAGGAGACCAATGGCTCAAATGGTGATGATGAAGAGAATTTTTGTTGTTAGAATCGGCTTTAGGTAGTAATGGAATATTAACTTTGGGTAAGAAAGTGATATTTTGAAACATTTTGGGTAGAAAGTATAATTAAGGCAAATCTTGCATCGGAAAAAGTGTTTACTCTTAATTATACTAGGGTAACAAATGGTTTACTAGTTACTACAGTAAAAAACGAGGCTGTATTTTTAATTTTTAATTGGGACATCCACACGTGAAATTGATTATATATAAATATATATATGCTTAACAAGAAAATTTCAAATATTTTTCCAACAAATCTAGCTTCAAAAAGAATTTATCTTATTCTTAACCATTTAGCCTCCTTAATCAATTATAAAAACGAACAAACCATTAACTTAATTTAGGACATACATTAATTAATACATACAACATTGATGCAAAAGTCTAGAAGTTCCTGGGTTGAAATAACAATTTATTTATAATTTAGCTTGGCCATAGTGTAAGTGATCAACAACATATATGCAGCAGTTTTGCCCTTTTTTTTCAGTGGCTTCCAAATTTTTACTTACCCAAAAAAAAAAAAAAAAAAAAAAAAACATATATGCAGCAGAAATATTTGTATGTTTAGTCAATTTTAGTGGTCAACATGGAGTAATCTCTGGAACTCTCTTTGTATAAATACTGAAACACAATTGCATGTGTGCCTTTGAGCTACATTTTCCAAAATCCTCTTCTTATTGTCTTATATTAATGTTTATATATGTTTATATATTTTATATAGAGCTTTTTTGAAAGGTTTAAGGCTTACTGATATTTTGTACGTTCAATACGATTAAAATTAAGTTTGACTTTGGATCCAACAGAAAATCTTGAGCCTTCGGGTGTCTGACAGAGAAATTAAGGAAAAGAGCCACATGAAATTAACAGCCACTTTATATAATTAACCAAAAACATTCATAGACGGATTGAGGTATACATATCATGTATGCTACCTTTTTATTTCATAATTTTAGTGCGTATTATAAATGTCATCAAAAGACAGGACACATTATTCAAATAAGTTGCTTCACTTCATTGGACGATTTCCCTAATTGCCATCCATCCCGAACTTTGCCTGGAGATCTTTCACCATATCAACGTCCAACTGGAAGGCTCTTGCTAGGAAATTTGGTTCAATGGGAGGATCTGATCCAAATACTGCATTGGCTATAGTAATAACACCAGGATTCTGACTGCTTAAACCAGCAAAGGCGATCGCATTTGTTTTTCCGACATTGAATTGGAAGTGAATGAGACTAATGGGGAAAACGAACACATCGCCCTTGTTTAGAACTTTTGTGATAAGTGTGTTGTTGGGATTGGAAGTGACGAAACCAACAAGAAGAGTACCCTCCAGGACAACAAGAATCTCAGTGGCTCGAGGGTGAGTGTGAGGTGGATTTTGGCCATAAGGTGCAAAGTCAATACGGGCAGCTGATATGCCAAGAGTGTTAAGTCCTCGAATTTCATCTACATTCACAGCTGTGACATATGAACCAACTGGGTTGTTTGTGTCTCCAGGCAATTTAACTGAAGAGGAGAAATCGTCTGCTTCGGCGAGATTGGGGTCCTTGCAGAACTTCCCATTCACAAATACTACATCATACAACCAATTTAATGTCTACGGATGTAATTTGTAATTAAAACATGCTACATAAAAATAAGAATTAATTCCTAAATACAGAAAGGGGAATTGAGTAGTGAGTACATACCACCATTCAAGGGTTCATCAACCGCAACACAGAAGTCCTGAAGAGGACTGGGGTTAAAAGCGGAGGCAAAAGAGGAAGTCAAAGCCAAGAGGACAAAAGCCAAAAGGAAACCTTTCATTATGATTATTAGACTCTAATCTGTATTCTTCAATTAGTATCTTCTTGCTGAGGCACGAGAAAGGTTGTAAGACAGGCTAACCTATTTATACGTGCAATCCATTGAACTAGTCTTGAGAGTTTTCCCAACTCAAAAATGATAACGGACACTTGGCAAGTCTTCAGTGGCTATCTTTTTTAAAATTTGCACTATATGAGTCATTCTTTAACTACCAAATGTGATTGCCAATTAAGTGAAATTTTTTCTTCATTGCTTACATAAAAACATTTTAATGTATGGTGGTGGTCTCCTCTTTAATATCCACTATATCAGCCAGCTAATGTATTATTAACCATTTTCTTGTTTTAAATATCATTTGACTAAAGCATCATGACCTAGAGTAGTGAGTTAAGTTCACAGTGCTGACCTTTGTTGATAATAGAAAACCTCTACACTTCATACTCTCTCTTTATTGGATATATAACATGTTCATAGATTAATCTTTGCATAGAGTTGTTATTATTTGAAGAAATTTAAGAGTTTTTCTTGTGATTTTTTATTTTTATTTAGGTGAATATTTGCTTGAATGGTATTTGGCTACATGGCACCCTATTGAATAATATATTTACTTTCTATTTTTAAACCAAGGACAAAGGTAGAGCGTTGTCATGCTAGTTGTTTGCTTGATCGACCATTCAGAAAAAAAATATTATATGCATAAAAATTTTTTTCTAACCCAATTCGTCTTTTTAATAACCAATAAAAGATTCAGAATTTATATGTTGCATGTGGTTGTGGTGTAGATCATAAACAAAATGACACAATAACCAGTAACATAGCGACGTGTTTCTTGACAATTCGCCCAATCAAAATCACAAGATCCATTTAGTTGAACCTTGTTGTTTTAGGAAAATAAAATGCTTTGACCAGGTGATTGTTTGATATATCTATGAGTAGGAGATGAGGTTGTCTTTGAAAGGAAAACAAAATAGGGTGCAAAAACAGAGAGTATCAAAGAGGAAGAAGAGAATGTGTTTACTGTATTAATCCTTAATCAGTAAAGTAGAGATTACAGCTTTTATATTAAGCTGTTGTACTAACTGATTTAACAGTAATTAGTTATACAAGAAGCGGCAGCGTATTAGGCAATATAAGATTTTGACTTCTACTTTATAGTCAACATACTCCCTCAAACGTGACTGGATAAAATTTCAACACTGCATAAAACTTCAACAGCTTTTCTTCAACAACTTTTCTTCCACACTTCAGCAGCTTTTCTTCCATCCTTCTTGTACTTCAATATGCTCCCTCAAACATAACTGCAGAAAACCTTCAACTGCACTGCATAAAGCTTCAACAACACAACTGCCGAAAACCTTCAACTGCACTGTATAAAGCTTCAACAACACAACTGCAGAAAACCTTCAACAGCACTGCATAAAGCTACAACAGCACAGCACTGCATAAGATTTACAATAGCACAACACTGCATAACACTTCAACATCACAACACTGCATAAGATTTACATCAACACAACACTGCATAAGATTTACATCAACACAAAACTGCATAAAACTTCAACAGCACAACACTGCATAAACTTTTCTTCCATCCTTCTTGTACTTCAATATGCTCCCTCAATCGTAACTGCATAAAAAAAAAAAAAAAAAAAAAAAAAGGTTCTTCCCAGCTGCAGTCTTTACCAAGTATAGTGACATTCAACTTTCCCCTTAGATCAGTGAATTGACCAATTGATAAAGCCTTTGTAAGAACATCAGCTATTTGTAACATAGAAGGAACATATTGAATGACCACCTTTTTGGCTAAAACTTGCTCCCTAATGTAATGAGCATCAATTTCAATGTGTTTAGTCCTGACATAAAACATAGGATTAGATGCAAGAGCTCTAACACTAACAATTGACCAACTGATTAAGCCTTTGTGAGAACATCAGCTATTTGTAACTTAGAAGGAACATATTGAATGGCCACCTTTTTGGCTAAAACTTGCTTCGTAATGTAATGAGCATCAATTTCAATGTGTTTAGTCCTGGCATGAAACACAAGATTAGATGCAAGAGCTCCAGCACTAACATTATCGCACCAAATGACTGGAGTAGTGTGAAAAACCAAGCCTAATTTAGTAAACAAACTCTCCAACCAAGCTACCTCTGTTGCCATATCAGTGGAGGAAAGAGCAACAACTTTCTGTTTTCTAGAACTCCATTGAATCAAATTTGGTCCTAGATAAACACAATAACCACTGGTTGATCTCCGATATTCATGATTTCCACCCCAATCAGCATCAGCATAGCATTCAATATGTAATGCCTTTGCTGGTTTGAAAAATAAGCCACAGTGGATAGTAGCTTTAATATACCGTATCACCCTCTTGCAAGCTTGCCAGTGGAGTTCAGTGGGGGCTTGTAAAAATTTGACTCAGCTTATTCATAGCGAAAATTAGATCAGGTCTTGCAAGGGTCAAATATTGTAATGCACCAATCGCACTCCTGTATAAACTAGGAATCTGAAATAGTTCACTATCGGTTGAACTCAATTTTATCCGAACATTCATGGGAATAGAGCAAGCATGTGCTTCCATCATCTTGGTTTTAATAAGAAGATCAGCAGCATATTTGGACTGCTTCAGATGAAGACCAGTAGATGTCTTAGTGCTTCCAAACCAAGAAAGTATTTGAGTGACCCAAGGGTCTTTGAAGCAAAGTCATTGTTGAGATCTTTCATCAACTGAGTGATAAAGATTGCATCTAAACCAATGATTAGTATGTCGTCAACATACACAAGTACATAGGTAGAACCTGAAGTTTGCTGAAGAGTGAAGGGACTTGAGTCTGAAACAGAGTTTTGGAACCTTTTTTGCTGAAGAGCAGTTTTCAACTTTTCAAACCATGCTATAGGAGCCTGCTTAAGAGCATATAAGGCCTTATTTAACTTACAAATAGCCTTTGGAAAGGATTGATCTTCAAAGCCTGGAGACTGCTGCATAAAGACATTTTTTGTTAGTACCCCATTTAAAAATGCATTATTGACATCAATCTGTTGAATATCCTAGCCATTTGTAACTGCAATGGTTAGAATAATTTGTATAGTTGACGGTTTGATCACTGGATTAAATGTCTCAAAGTAATTAAGGCTAGGGGTTTGTTGGAAACCCTTGGCAACCTTTGTATTTCTAAAGAGAACCATCAGCATTGAATTTTGTGCGAAACACCTATTTATTTCCCACAACATTCATATGGGTACAAGAGTCCAAGTATTGTTGTGAATAAGAGCATCAAACTCGCTTTGCATAGCAACCTTCCAATTACTACTACTAAGTGCATCTAAAACTAACTTGGGTTCTGGTTTAGGAGCTTCAGACCCATTAACTAAGTAAGCTAGATGAATATCATCTAGATTGGAGTTAGCAACTGTAACCGACTGCTAAGCGTATCAGAAACTGACTTGAATTTTGGTTCAGGAGCTTCAAACCCATCAAGTGTATCAGAAACTGACTTAAGTTTTTGTTCAGGAGCTGTAGACCCATCAACTAAGTAAGCAAGACAAATATCATCTTGATTAGAAGTTACCAACTGTAATTGAGTAGCTGATTTAGCTCTTGTAACCATGGGATGCATGTTTGTAGATGTTGGAGCAGCATGAGAAACAACAAAAGATGCATAGGATTTGTCAAGAGTTGAATTACCCAAAACATTTGTACTGACTGGGAACTGATCATGTGAACTGTTGTAATTCAAAACACCTACTATATTAGAGAACTGAGAAGCAGTAAGATCAACCACAAGCTGACAAGGTGACAGAGATAAGGTCTTAGTGTTTATAGGTTGATTTGGACATGGTGAGATGGATGTGTGGTTAGGTGAAAAATATTTGTGTTTAGTGTCAGTATTTGGAGTGGTAATGGGAGAAAGGATACTGGTTTGATTATCTAAGGATTGAACATGAGTTTTGGTACAAGAAGAGGTAGCTGTTGTGTTAGGAAATTGAGAAGATGTGAGTCAACTATAAGTTGACAAGGTTGTAAAGATGAGTCTGTAGTGTTTGTTGTAGTATTTGGGTTAGTGGTATGGGGAAAATTTTGTTGAATGGTATCAGTGGATACCATATGATTATGAGAAGAATTCTTACCATTTGTTGCATGAGCTGCACAGGACTTGTCCATGGAGCAAGGGATAGTAAGTGAAGTTGTGCTAGCTGATGGTTGAAGAGAATTGGAAGTAACCACAGGAGGAAAAAATGAAACTGTCGTGGTTTGAGTGTCTAGAGTGCATGACTGAGTTTGAGGTGAAGAGCTTGGAGTAGTGAGGGCAAAGGGAAACTCAAACTCGTTAAATCAAACATTAGGAGTAATGACAATCTGTCCATCTGATTTTAAACACTTATACCCTTTGTGGATTAGGTTGTAGCCTACAAAAGTACACTTGACCATATGGAAATCAAACTTGTGCTTGTTAAAGCTCCTAAGGTAAGGAAAACAAGAACATCCAAAAACTCTTATCCTATCATAAACAGGAAGTTGATGAAATAATGTTTGAAAGGGTGAAATGTTATGAAGTGTGGCAGTAGGCATTCTGTTTATGAGATAAACAACTGTCTCAAAAGTAAGCCACCAAAATGTCAAGGGTATAGATGCATGAACGGAGAGTGTAAAACCTGACTCTACAATATGTCTATGCTTTCTTTCACTCCTACCATTTTGTTGATGAACATATGCACATGAGTATCTAACTTGAATACCTTATTCAGTCAAGTATGGAAGAAGAGCCTTATATTCACCTAATTGGTCAGATTGCAAGCTTTTGATTTTACAATCAAATTGTCTTTCAGCAAGATGATGAAATTTGATAAAAACTGACCTTACTTCAGCTTTGGTTTTGAGAGGGAATAGCCATGTAAACCTACTGTTGTCATCTAGGAACTAAATATAGTATTAAACCTTCAATTGAAGTGTAAGGGGTTGGACCCCAAGCATCACTATGTATTAATTTTGAAGGGGTAGTGGCATGAGACTGTGAAATGGGAAAACTGTTTTGGTGCAATTT